TCCCTCAAATCTCACTGCCCCTCTCCTCAGGGCTTGGTATGACCTCTCTGCAAAGCCTCCTCGATTCTCTGTTCCCTTGCTTGCCTTACTGTCTGGAACTCCTCAAGGCAAACTGAGGTGAACAGTTTTTCTAGTTCCCAGTGCTTTACAAAGCGACAGTGAAGTGAGTCTTCCCTCAGATGGGTGCTTCTGCTGCCATCAGCGAGGAAAGAGAAGAACACCGGGTGGGACACCAGAGCCCTATTCACCACCGTGGACGAGCCAACTCTGAACTGTGACAGCAGAAGTTCACAAGTTGGAGGGAGAGGAGCAACACCGAGGGAAAAACAGACAAAACCAAGAGGAGAAAGCGATGGATTTGTGTAAAGACGCAATTAGCCTTTCAGAAAAATTAGGGTTGAGGTCAAATTCTTCTGTCACTTTTGGGCTGCTAAGTCGTGAGGAAAATGTAGCCTATCCCTGGTCTCTTCTTTTGCTCGCCTACAGCACGAGGATGATCGTACCCACCAAGGAGGCTGAGAGGATTAAGGAAACCAGAGGCATTGCCCTCTCCTAAGGCTGGGCACCCAGCGCATCTCGGAAACTGGCCCTGCAGAGGAGACACGAACGTGACTGCATGGAGCCGGAAATGACCTTCTAGAAAGATCTCAGAAGAGCACAGGGCCAGAGGAAGGAAGGGCCCCTCCATCAAAGTGGGTCTGAGAACCAGGTCAGAGCCGTCATCCCCCGGCGAGGCCAATGAGCGCCACAGTGAAAAGCCAGGAAGAGGGAATGTTGGGGAGAGCCGAGTTGGACCGCTGGCAGCTGCGGAGGGCAGAGTCCGTGGCTCGCTTGCTTTCCTGTTCTTTTCAGTGCCTCACACAGAAATGGCCAGACAAATACAGATAATTGTTTAACAGAGGAGTCATCCACCTAGAGCATCCCCAAAACCAAAGGCCTTTCACAGAGTGCGTCTCATCCCTGCTCTGCTTATAGACGTTGTCGTGGAGCGAACGCTCTCTGAAGCCAATTTTAAGTGCTGGATTCAGAGTCATTGGGCTTATTTCTCAGCCCATCTTCTAAATGGATGCTTCAGGCAGAGGGATCATGCCTGGATCCTATGCTAACATCTCCCCAGCACAACAACTAGCACTAGTAGGTGCTCTGTGAAATATCTGCTAAATCAATGAGTGAATGAGTGAAAGAGTGAATACTGTATTAAAATGCAAGCATCCCTAGCATTATTTAAGACAACCAGGAATTAACAAATTTGCTTTCCTGTGGGCTACCCTGGGACTGGCAACCACAGAAGACACATTGGATCGGCAGGACCCTGGTTTCTCCTGGCAAAGGGCCCTCTCCACATGGCTTCCACTGAAGTACACTTCACAGTTCCTTTGCCTTGCCAACCAACATTAGCTCTTTCATATACAGCCCGATCAGCTTTACTTGATGGGATCATCTAGCTTCTGCTTAAAGGATCACAGCTTGCATGTTTTGGATCATCTTTGGAATCATTTGCTCAAAATATTACCAACAAATGACCAAAAATTCTGCAAATCCCCTCTTCCTCACCGAAACAAAAGAAAACAAAACAGAAAACCTCTTTGGGGCATCACTTTTCTCTAGATGAGCTGCCTGAGTACTGAATTCTTCTTATTCCTCCCTCACCTCTCTGGGCAAACAGTGCAGCAAGTGGCTAAAAGCTCAGACTATACCCTGCACTCCTGAGTCCAATCCTGGCCTCACCACTACACCAGCGGCCAGCCCTTGGCCACGGCTCCATGCCCTCAGCTGCAAACTGGCAAAGAAAATATTTTAGAAGTTTGTTACGAGGATTAATTAGCTACTGCATATCTACAGCATCGTAAAAGGCCCAGCATACAGTAAGCACTCAATAAATCCTTAGCTCTATACTTGCTAATGTTGGCAGTTGCCACTTTTCAGTGAAAGTATCCCTTATTTTTGCTGCCTCCACTGGACTGTGAGCTCAGATATTGATAACTATTGTTTGTCTTCTCATTTATACCCAGTACCTTATTTCCATCTGATATAGAGGAGACATTTGGCTATTGTTTGACTATAATTATCAGAAACAGTGAAGTGACTTTAATTGCATCGGGCCCCTCGGTGACATAATAAAAGTCAGAGGACATTTCAGATTTGAGGGATCCCATTAACATGATGTGAAGGAATAAAAAGACACAACTCAATGCTACAACTAAATAAATAGAGATAGGAGCATCAACAGAGTTCCAGAAAAAAAAAAACCTAACAAAATACTGAGTATGGCTGTAATATCATTCAATTTGTAAATATCAGAATTATTTTTAAAAATTCAATGCAATCTTTTTCTCAGACATGCACACACATCAGCTTTGCTTCATGTGACCAACAAGCTTTTGCTTAAAAGACCCTTAAGTTCCGTGACTCTTCATGGGAGTGGTTTTCCCAAAGATTTCTGAGCTGTGCAAATCCCTCTTCCTCATGAAAGAAGAGAGGGAGGGAGGGAGCGCAGAGCTGCTCCCCTGCCTGACAAGGCTGAGGAGCGAGCCAGAGCTGAGACACAGAGGCGGCGCCCCTCCGACTGTGAGCACAGACTGGGCTGCTCTGGAGGGACCCTAGAGGAGATGTAGACAGGAAGATGGAGCGCAGAGGAGGCCTGAGAATGAAATGCAGCCAGATGTTTACCTCAAGACCAAAAGCATATAATTAAAAAGAGAAAAGAACTTCCAGTGAGTATTCTCCCGGAAGGGCTCAAGGCCAAGCCTGCCAGAGCAGGCTGCGAATGAATAATTGAATGCTTCAGAGTGGAGGGGATAAAGCAGTGGGAAAATCAGCGTGGAAAGCAGGCCTGAGCAGGAAAAGCTGCCGAGAGACGTGACTCCCACAGGTACACGATCCCTGGCCGTGCAGGGGCTGGGTGGCCCCTCGGGACCCTGGAGTGGAGCAAGAGGCCAGCTCCTCGTCCATCCCAACCAGCCCACCCTGACTTCACTGACCACCGTTTGGATTCAGACATGGAGAGCCCAGCCAGCATCACTGAGCAGAGGGCGCAGGGGAACCCAGGCTCCCAGCTGGAGGGGGCTCCGCAGTGCTTCAGAGCCCCTGCCACACACACGTTGCAAAAACCACTGCTCTCACAAAATGAGAAAGTGATGACAAATTGCATCATAAAAAAGCAATGAGAAAAAGGAAATATTTAATTTAAACAGAAAGTGTTTGCCAAATAAAGAGTACTCCATAGACGCATGGATATGCAAAGACAAGAAATCTCAACTGAATGAGACAGAGCAAGTAACAACCGAAAGGAAGGAGCCTAAATCAACAGCATCAATATTTGAGACACAAAGAACAGAGAAAAAAGATGAAACAAATATTAATAGAATAGAATTTGCGTAAACGGAGGAAACAAAGTAAAGGGTCCACCAATTATTACACAAAATGTTAGAAAATAAAAGCCATACTTAGGCATACTTTCTGAATTTCAGAATACCAAGATTAAAGAGAAGAGTCTAAATTTTTTATGCAGAGAGCAGGTATGGAGGGTGTAGAAAAAGAAAGAGTCACACAGGAAAAAGAACCACCTTGCCACCATCTGGCTTTCAGAGACAGACAGACAGATGGAGGGTGTGTTAGTTACTTTTCTCTCATTGCTGAGACAAAATACCCATACCCAAACCCAAAGCTAGAGGGGAAGGGGTTTATCTGGCTTACAGTTTGTAGAGGTTTCAGTCCATAATCAGCTGGCTCCAAGACAGGGATGGCAGACAGCCATCCCAGAGGAGAAACAACATGGCACGTACAAGACAGCAAAGGAAACAAGAGAGTCTTTAACAGCGTCTCCCTGCCCCTTTTATCTTATTCAGACTACTTAGGGCATGCTTAATCCTAATGTCCTTGAGTTTAGCATTGCATTATGAATCAATTCCAGCATCACACACTCTAGATCAAGCCTATGACCGCACGAGGCTTTGGGGAGACATCTAGACCCAAACCATAACAGATGGACAGACAAACAGGCAGGCAGACAGACAGACACATGAAAGAGTTCAGAAATTTCTCACAAAATTTTTATTAGGAATTTGCTTAAATATGTGCTACAGGAAAATGATATATCTTCTTAAGAGTGATGAAATATATAGGAGCAATAGATATGAGTCAGAAAGAAAAGCTAGTAAAAGAAGTAATTCACAGATGTGGTGATAAGTTAGATGTACACTCAATCACTTGAGTGGCATGACCTGGGTACTCTATTCAGTTCTAGCCTCTTCCTCTCTGGCGCTGTTCCCCTGTGCTTTGTCTGCCCAGTAAGCAGCTTGGTCCTCCACAACCTTTCCACGGTGCTGTATCTGCCTGGGAGCCAGCTGACCATTGACTGAAACTCCTGAAACTATGAGCCATGTTAAAGCTCTCCTCCTTTAAGTAGTGGATGTAATGTGTTTTTTCCCCAGCAACAAGAAACTGAGGAATTCAGATCTCTATCAGTTATAATTATTATGAATCACTTTTGACTGAGGAAAGATAAAATTCAAAAAATAATCCTATTTTCACTAATTGTATCTTTAAGTGGACAACAGTTCAAGGAAACTAACATTCATTAACACCGCCCATTGCTAGGAAGAGAGCTAACAAGCATATGACTTGAAGAAGTCACAGATTGCTGAGCCTACCCTTGAGCTCATTTGTTAGTTATCTGTACAGAAATCACAAGTAAGCAAGGTAAAAGGTAAAAAAGGCCACAGTAACAACATGAACAAGACACTTATTGGAAAGCAGTGAGACCCTCAAGCCTCAGTCTTAGAGTGACAGTGGAAGGCATAGAATCCAGTTCCACTGGAAAGTAAGGTGCACAAATCAGCCTCAGGAAAGGGAACATGGAACTAGCCCATAATTAAGTGGCTCTTCAATGCCAGAGAGCTTTATTTACTCAGTAAGTGTGGAGAGCAGAGGAATGCACCACTAAGGACAGGCTTGGGTATGGTGCAGCAACAAACAAGCCCAAGATTTCAGTGACTTACAACAACAATTGATTTCATGCTGGTGCCAAATGCATCTCAGGGTGGGACAGGGAGGTCTTTGCTCGGGGCGGCCACCCAGGGTCTCAGTCTCAGGAAAAAAATCATTCTCAAGCATTGCTGGCCATCACCTTGTGGAAAAAGAGAGATATTAAGAGTCTTGCACTGGCAAATAAAGAACACATATTGCTCATGCTCGTCTCATTGACCAGATGTAAATCTAGGGCCCCACTCAATGATAAGAGACCTAGAAGTTTACTCCTACCTGGGATGGAGGAGAACTGGGAATGTTGGGGGAATATTGCTAATAAATACAGAGGTAGAGTAAGGGGAATTATAACCAATCCCAGTCAATCTCAGGAAGCCATTTCTGTTATCCCAAATGTATTCTAACGGATAATTTCATATTCATTAGATCAAAAACTTTTATTCCATTACATTAGGTGCCTATTCTAGCTAGCTAACCCAGTATGAAACACTACCCTCTAAATAGCAAAAGTATAATCAGCCAAGAATTCACAATAAATTAAATTATTTACTTGTAATTAGTAACAAATTAAATTAAATCCTCAATAGGACTTAATGAGACTCCAAACCAAAAGAGTTTTGTCTTTATTAGCCAATAAAATTTTTATTTATTCCAGTCCTCCAAAGCTTTGATGGTCAGGTCTAATGGAAGAGAGTTGTAGATTGTTTTCGTCCAGCACTAATTTCACAATAAGCTTTGAGATAAGAAATATGTGTTCAGATCCAGCTTACAAAGGAAAAATCAAAGTATTGTAAAAGGACTACCATCATCCAGAGAGAGCTGATTTTGTCTCCATGGAACACTCCCATCAGGCTAAATGTGAGCTGTGTCTACATCATCCCTGCTACTTTGCTTTGTTTTCCTGAGGCAAGGTCCGTAGATCACTGCAGATGTTCTCAGCCATTATCTGAGCTGAAACACAGTCTCCCACCCAGCACCTACCATAACTCACCAGCACGATGGCTGCTGCAGGAGGATTCGGCAAAGGAAGACAAAATGGACCATTCTGCTCAGTTAGCAGAAGCCTCTAAAGAGCCTCGTTTGAAGAAAGGCAACAGATTTAAAAGGTAAATCCTAATCTCCTCTTGTAACTGGTTTTTAAGGAGCAGGCGTTTCTTAGTCATGTTTCAACATTTGTCCTATAGTTATTTTATTTTATACTAAAAATGAAATGAGCTATGCATTAAAATAAACTTTAATTTATGTATTTAGAATTACGCTTCATTTCTTACACTATTTTCTACATGAATAACCCCAAACTTACGAGGTGAAAGCAGTTCTGTATGGAGTTGCTTGTTAAGCAGGTTATAAATATCCCTATCAGTGAAAACAATAAATGCCAAGGGCGCTCAAACAGACTGATGAGGCCATCAGCTCTAATCTATTAAAGATTCCAAAAATAAATCTATTAATGCTGTCAGTGTCTATTTTTTCACTCTCATTACAACAATTCTCAGAACTATAAAAGTTCCACAATGAGACTAACATTTTAAGATTATACAACTTAATTTATAATATTATTCAATTATTTTATAATGGTAATCATGGAGCACCTTGGTATGTTTTTATTTATATTCCATGAATGCTATGGAAAATTCTTTCCATTTTTTCATAGAAGATCACAGTACCCTTGGAATGAGATTTGCATTTTTAGATTTAAAGGAAAGCTGGGATATCAACTGAGCAATACATTCTAATAAACCTATTACAAGATAAACATTTTTTTCCAACAGCTCTGAAGAGATTAAGGTATGCAAATCTGCGGCCAACTAGTTATGCAAATCTGTGGCCAACTAGTACAGGTTAAGAGCAAATGACATTGAAAATTATAGATTTTGGAGTTTACAAAATCTCTTGCCATGGTTGAAAAGCTATTGAAACTTACGTAATATTTCCAAGCTTCAGGTTCTTTATCTGCAAAAATCAACTCGATTGAATAAGCAATTTTATATGAAATATGTATGACAGGCCTAAATGGGACAAGTAGACAATAATGTATTAACAGTTTTTTAAGTAAAGTGAACTGAATTTGATTGCCCCCCACAAGTAGGTAACAGCATTGGTACAGAGTAATCCTAGGTCATCTAATCTCCAGAGAAGTTGAGACTACTTGCTAATGTAAAGAAAATATTCAAAGTGTTGATTAGAAAAAAAAGAAAATGAGCTACTATTTCTTCCTCTATCAGCATGAGAAGTGAAAACCAAAAAGAAAAAAAATAGTGGATTCAGGAACAGAGGCCTGTGGTAATATAGATCCATGTGTGAGACCTCACAAAGGAAGTGTAATGTACAGACAGAAAATACCCAGAAATTGCTGTGGGAGAAGAAAAACTTTATTCAAAGAATGTACTGCTCCTGAACTTGCTTCTTTAATGTTAATGAAACTAATATTTCCAACAGAAACAATCAATTTTACTTTTTTGAACAATTTAATTGTAATAAGTAAAATCCATTTAAAATGGGGAAGAGGTTGATTTATGCATTTTGAAGGTGTTTATCCTAAAGCCAGATAATTTATCCTAGGAGAAAAAATTAATTTTATATAAATTAGACTTCACCAAAATTAAGGCCTTTTGAAATTCAGAACATACTACCAAGAATGTGAAAATATCTGGGTAGGTGATGTACATCTGTAATCCCAGCTACTCAGGAGGCTGAGGCAAAAGTGTCACAAGTTCAAACAACTTTGAAAGACCTTGTTCCAAAATACAATGAAAAGTAAGGGCCACAGAGGTTTCTTCAATGGTAGAGCACTTAGAGAGTGAACACAAGATCTGGGTTCAAACCCCAGTGCTACACACACACACACACACACGCAGTGAATGTGCAAGCCACAGCCTAGGAGAAAATAATTGGAAATAGCATATCTGAAGAAGGACTTATCACCAGAATATATAAAGAACCCAGTACTCAATGTTAAGAAAACAAATGACAAAAATTAACAATTATCAAGACATTTGAATAGATATTTCTCCAAATAAAATACATGGGTGGCCAATAAGCACATAAAAGATCCTCACTGTCATTTGTCATTAGATAAATGCAAAAAAGCAATAAGATGCTGATAGTATAGTAAGAATCATAAAGAAAGACAAAGACAATTTGGTTAAGGGTACAGAACAATGAGAGAATGTGAACAGGGGCAGCATATACTGCTGATAGAAATGTAAGATGGCACAGCCACTTTGGAAAGCAGTTTGTCAGTCTCTTAAAATACTCAACACGGACTTACCGTGTGGCTCAGCAGTTCTATTCTTGGGTGTGCACCACGGGAAGTAAAAACATACATCGGCACAAAGACATTTCCGTTGAGTATTTATTGTAGCATTATTTGCAATAGCCAAAAAGTAGAAACTACCCGAGTGTCTATCAATAGGTGAAAAGTTAGAATGTGTTACATCAATACAATAAATATTGCCAATAAAAAGAAAGGAAGTACTGACACACACTGCAACATAAATGAACTTCAGCAACACTGTGCTGATGTACAGGAGCCAGGCACAAAAGACTGTGTTCCATCATCAGGTTGGGAAGCGGGTAAGTTGCTGTCTGGGACAGGAGTGTGAATGACAGTGACTGCGATGAGCACGTGGGGCTTCCGGGGGTTGATAGAAATGCTCTGAGATTAGATGGTGCTGAAGGCTACACAGTGCTGTGGATTTATAGATGAATGTTATGGCACATAAATCGTGCCTCAGTAAAGATGCTTATGGACAAACAAATTAATAGTGAACTAATTCACTAAAATTAGGAGAGCCACACAACCAACAGGAGCCTTTCCTCATCCTCAAGTACCAGCAGGCCCTGAAGAGAGCCAGTGACCTCCCTGCATCTGAGTCAGGCTGGGCAGGAAAGGCGAACGCAAGGGTCAAGCAGATGAAAATGCAGGATCCTCAGCTTGGAAGATGTGGGAACAAGGAACGAGCATGGGTTAGACCAGGAGAACGTTCTGTCCAGCTGTTCAGTATGTGGCCATGTGAGTAGTAGCCCTGAGGAGCTCATTCTTTTTATTTTATTTTTTATCTTAATTTCAAGTCAAAGAGCGATATACACTTAGTGAGTACCATATTTAATACCACATGTCTAGACTAATCCAAAACCCAGCTGGTCCTTTCAGGTACTTAGCTAATCTCTAGCCTCATAATTACTGGTGGTTATAAAGTTTACCAAGACAGTCCTTATACTCACTCAAAAATATTTATGAAGCTCCTATATGTGGATCATAGAACTTGATAATATGAAGATAAGTTGGATATGCCACAGTATAATTTCAAGTTGGGGACTGTGATGCCCCCTGCTTTGCTTTTGTTGCCCTGAACTACTTTGCTATTTTAGGTCTCTTTTGGTTTCAAATGAACTTTAGGATAATTTTCTCTAATTTTGTGAGATGTACTATTAGAATTTTGATCAGGAATGCATTAAATCTGTATAACAATTTTGGAAGTATGGCCATTTTCATTATATTAGCTCTTCCTACCCATGAACAAGGGATATCTTTCCATTTTCTGATATCCTCTTTGATCTCCTTTTTCAAAGTTCTGTAGTTTTCCATGTAAAGATCTCTTACTTCCTTCATTAGATTGATTCCTAGGTATTTCATTTTTGTTGGGGATGCTATTGTGAAGGGTGTGGTTTCCCTAATTTTTGTCTCAGTGAGTTTCTTACTTGTGTACAGAAATGCTATTGATTTTTGAGTGTTGACTTTGTATCCAGCTATGCTACTGATTTTGGTTATTAAATCTAGAAGTCTTTTGGTGGAGTTTTGAGGGTCTCCTATATAGAGAATCATGACATCTGCAAATAATGCTAATTTAACTTCTTCCTTCCTTGTCCTTATTCCTTTTATTTCTTTCTCTTGTCTAATTGCTGTGGCTAGTGTTTCTAGAACTATACTGAATAGGAGTGGTGACAGTGGACATCCTTGTCTTGTTCCTGATTTTAGAGTGAAAGCTTTCTGGTCTTTTTCCATTTAGTATGATATTTGCTGATGGTTTGTCATAGATTGCATTTATCAAATTAAGATAGAGACCATCTATTCCAATTTTCCGTAGGGTTTTACATAAATGAGTGTTGGATTTTGTGAAGTGCTTTTTCTGCATCTATTGAGATGATGATATGGCTTTTGTCCTTGGCTCTGTTAACGTGGTGTATTCCATTTATTGATTTGAGTACGTTGAACCATCCCTGCATCCTTGGGATGAATCCCATTTAGTCAGGGTGTATGATCTTCCTGGTTTGCAGCATTCTGTTTGCCAGTATCTTATTGAGGATTTTTGCATCTATGTTCACTAGGGAGATTGGCCTGTAGTTCTCTTTTTTTGGTTGGATCCTTCTCTGGTTTTGGTATCCAGGTAATGATTGCTTTAGGAATGAATTCGATTATTGCTTCCCTTTCAATTTCATTGAAGAGTTTGAGAAGTACCAACATTAGGTCTTGTCTAAATTTCTTGTGGAATTCAGCAGTGAATCTGTCCGAGCCTGGGCTTTTGTTTGTTGGCAGGTTTTCAATTACATCTTCAATTTCTTTGATTGATATTGGTCACACAGAAGAAATGGACAGATTCTTACATACATATGAATACCAAAGCTGAATCAAGAAGATATAAAATTTCTAAATAAAACAATATCGTCAGTTTTATTGCTCAAATTGTCTCAGATTTGGACACAAGTATCTTGAAGCTTGCTTTTTGGTTTTTGTAAGTATCCATTCACTGTTGAATGCACCTTTACTTTTTAGCATGAAATGTTCCTTATTCGTTTTGCATTTTCTCTGCCTTAGAATCAGCCATTTCTCTAAGGACCCATGCTTTGCTTAGTTCAAAGAGTAGGTACAAGACACAAGGTTTGGGGTAGTCCATCTTTCCAGAGGCCCTGTACTCTGGGGCAGCTTTTTGTCTCCTGCCAAAAAAGAAAGAAAGAAAGAAACGAAGTTTGGAGTTTATGTGTTGAAGTGCGCTGGGTCCTACATTTTAGCACAGGTTACTCACAACAGCCTCTGTTTTCCCCCTTTCTGACGAGCAAAGGGTGCAACTCAGAACTTGAGAGTTAAATGACTCTATCTAGCCACCAGCTAAGAGGAAAGGAGAAAAAGCAGCACAGATACAGGGATGGGAACTCCCCACATACAAGTGTGATTGTACAAACTGAGTGCTGCCCCACTCCTTCCCCTGAAAGAAAAATTAAGGATCTGCAAACAGTGCATCTGGAGCAAGTGTGACCTACGCACGGTTAAAGACAGAGGCGCTATCGCCTAACAAGATGGCTCCTTCACTGTAAGAGCTGCAGAAGCAGTGAAGTGCTTCTTTGCATAAATAATGCCACCCTCATGCCCAAAATCACATTGAGAATGAATATCCTCGCCGTTGTCCTGCGGTGAGCTGGAGAACACAAATGCTTCTCCAAATACAGTGTGTTGCTTTTATGTCGGGTGAGAGGAAACCAGTCCTACGTGTCCCAGTTTCACGTCTCCCCAGGGACTCTGGAGGGGACCTGAAGTTCCTGTTAGCTTCCCTGGTGTGGCAGCAAAACCGCAGGCTTTGGGCCGAAGCAGGCACCAAATCTTGGCAGGTGAAAGCTTGCCCTCACTTCACAGCCGACCTCTGAGGACCTACAAAGGCCCCATAGGAAACGTAATGCCTTGAGGTCTTCCTCTGGTGGGAGATGGAGACATTTCTCAGCAAATGTGTGAGCAACTTTTCTCTCATTGCTGAGACGAAATACCTGACACCCAAAGTTAAAAGGAGAAGGGTTTATGTAGCTCGCTCACAGTTTGTAAGGGTTTCAGCCCATAATCGGCTGGCTCCAAGGGAGAATGGCATGTGGCAGAGGGGCACCTCAGAGGTTTATGGTGCCCTCACAGTAGCAAAAGCAACTCGGGACCCTTAGCAATGTCTTTCTGACCCTTCTATGTTATCCAGACTACCGGGATCAGGGCAGCGCCAAACCAGTCACTCACGTGTATTGATTCAGTAACACATGCCCTTAACCCAGCGTCACACACTCCAGATTCAGCACCTCTGAAAAGGACTGCATGAGGCCTTGGGGTGACATCTAGCGGTGAAGGAGTTGGGATGGAACATGAAGAAGAGCTGAAGGGTATTGGGGGCAAAGAGGGAACTAAAAGTTTGAGAAATCGGGAATCCTATATGATAAACCCACTGAGGGTTCAGAAGTGAGACCTCTCCCTACTGGAGAGGCCACAGTCGTATTTCCCAAGTGGCCTCTGCTGCCCTGGAAATGTTCTTTTAAGAAAGTGCTTGAAGCACCACTGTGTGTCTGTGTGTGTACTATGTTTGGGGCTCGAATGAGACCATCCCAGACATGGTCCAAGATCCCAGCAGGCCTTCTCCTGCAGAGTACAAAACAGAGCCACAGATGGCAGAGCTGCAGGTTAGAGAAACCTCCCAAAGCACAAGAGACTACGGGGAGAATTCCTCCCCCAGTTCCCCACTAACAGGAAGAAACCCAAGAGCCCTGCTTCACCCAAATCACGTTTGTGTTTCCACCAAAACATCGTCTTCGGTGTGAATCATGTGCACGTTTGCAGGGGCTGCTCAGGCCTTACTTCCCCCTTCTCCATGCTCTTCTTCGGGCCAATTAATGGCTCTTAGACCCAACCCATAACACAGCTAGGGGGCTTGGCACGGGGCTGAGAGAGACCGGAAGCTGCTCGCTGACGATGTGAAACTCTCTCGTTCCTGTATACTTAGCAGTAACCTTTCCCAAGACCCACACACCCAACCCCTAGCTAGACAACATATTTCAAGCTAATTTATCAACTGCGTCCCCATCTAGTCCTCTTTCTGTCTGCCCAGACTGTGCAAGCTGTAAAGAAGAAGAATCGTAAGCTCCCGCCTCCACCTGACCAGGCTGTGACCTCCTGGATGCCTCTCTGTCCTCTCCTCACAAGGCCAACAGCGGCTCAGGCCGTCACCCCTCCTTAGCTGTGCTGCTGGACCCAGCCAGTTTGAACAAACTGCTCAAGCAATACATCGGGGAGAAAATAATAACAATAATAATAATGACAGCAACTGCCACTTCTGCCAGTTCTGAGGCTGTTTTTCACACTGATCTCTGTGATTTTCCCGGTGATAAGTATTGGTCCAAATCTCACCTCTTGGTTTGCTCCTAGGGCTCTTCTGTTTCTGAGCACCCGCCTGGAATATTACAGGGTCACCCTGGGCGTGGCCTCATAGCCCTCCTCCAGCACCACGAGCTGCACCAGAGGTGTCCGGCCTGTGTGATCTCCACCCCAGCTCTGCACGCTGCCAGTGAGCCCCGCTGCTGCCTGGGAGAAGAGCTGGAGACATGGCCCATTCCCAGTGTCTCTCACCTCCAAAAGTTAACGGCTGAGTTTCTATACAATACCAGGGAAGTGCCTTGTGGCTTTTAAACCTTCTTTACATTCCTTGAAAATCCTCCCAATAGTCTGCCAAACTGTTAGGTTTCTCTAAAACACAAATTTGAACTTGACACTTTGCTGCTGGCTTCTAACTTCGCGGGGCACAAAAGACAGATGCTAAGCTTGTGGTGTAGGTTTGCCTGTTATCTGCTTGGGTTGGAACTGTATCTTCCCCCAAATGCAACCAAGTTGAACCACGACACCTTATTCTCTAAACTTACAAAGCTCTCTTGTCCTTCTGACTTTCTTCCTGTCATGTTTTTCTTCTGAAAAATTTCCCTTGTCTTTATCTTAATGATTCTTTAAGATGGCCTTTAAAGGCTGCCGCTTTTTGAGGCCCTAAATGTCTGTGTTCCCTACACTGAGGCTCTTCCAACTCTGACTTGCTGATCAGGCTCCTTTCCCTTCTTGATAAACTCCATCAGGGAGCCAGCAAGGCCTCCTCCATTCCATCCCTAGCTCCAGCATTTGACATGCACTAAGCGGCCAGGAATTTTTTTTAACAAGCCTGGGTTGGCAGGGGAATGAAAAGGTTCACTAATCCCATAGTGACAGAGAAATCACCCACAGATCCACAGACACAGGTTACTTCAGCCTCTAAACAATTATATGATCCTAAGCGATTTCCCTTTAAGCTGCACAGACGTGGGTTATGGCCTTACTCTATGTTTCGTAAGTATTATCTTTCCACCTGAAAAGTCCCATGACTGGCTAAAAGTTTGTTTCATTTAAAATGAGGGATGGAAAAGCAATTTCATGAGGAAAGCTTTGCCTAATTTTTTGTTGATGTGGACTCTTCTTCCTGTGGAAACCGTGGCAGTGACCTTGGAGATCCACCCTACTGACACCCTGCAGCCCTTTGCTTCTTTGTCACGTTCATGTGGCCCACCGAAATACCCTTGGAAAACCTTTACAGGTTTGACAGGAAAGAAGGCTTTGTACCACTAAATTATTTATCCACTTCACTGCAGCTCAGGTCTTAGGGATAATACGAGCAAATATCTTCATTTCCGTTTTGCTTTTCACAGAAGAGGAAATGAACCATATGCAGAGCCTACTGCCAATGGTCACACGTGTTGAGGACCTCACAGCTGGATGGTGAGGGCACTGCCTGTCACTGTGATGAGGCAGAATCCAAGCACAGAAGGTCTGAACATCAACCCTGACAAACACCATAGAAATTCTTTCCTGAGTTTCCAGGAGAAGGTGAAGATTATGAAGGTTCATGTTTACCTAAAGCCGTAAATCTAATCTCAAAACATTGATGCAGAATATTGCCTCTTAAGCAGGAAAATGTGGGCACTGCCCTCATCAGATGACCTTGCCACTCACATTCATTCTGAATTCACGCACGTGGAGACACCACAAAGGGCAGAGTGGCCATACATGATACTAACAGTTACCATTTGTGTGGCTACTTTGTACTGGACAATGTGATAAATAGCTTATCGTTCCAATTAATCTTCTAGGGACAATGAGACAGGCATGATTTTACCTATTTTATAAAAGGTAAAAGTTCAGGCTGCTGAAATAATATGAGAACTTACTCTACCAGAAAACTGGGAAATCAAGAATCATTTCCAGATCTGCCTAACCTCGAAGCCCTGGTTCTACCATCAGCTGCCTTGAACATACCCTGCCTCTGGATCTTACAGGAGAAATACACATCATTGTCGATGACAATGCTCAGGCCTTCGTTCCCAAATCTCTGGTCTTATTTGCAAGGTTTTGGAAGAGATTTAGGCCTGGACGTGTTGAGTCACTGACCTTCAGCCTGAATCTTGGTACCACGTGGTCATGGGAAACTTTATTAGTAGAGAGAACCCAAAGACAGTGCTATTTCAGGCAGCGTGGCAGCTTAGAGATCTTGAAGAGCCACCCCACTGAAGACGCCTCTTAATTTTGGGATGGGAATGGGAGACAATGAGATCGAGGTGTGCGGCGAGGCTGTGTCTGAGGCCCCCAGGGCCCCATCCATCGTGGTGACATCCACGGCCACCCTCAGGGCAGCATGCTGCCCAGGCCCAGCTCCCCGCAGGCCTCTCCCGGATGGCCGTACCAGCCAGCATTTCCCGAACCTCCTGGCAGTTGCCACCCCTCCCTGCTCGTCTGTACCAGCTTCTGTCTGGAAAGCGGTTCTTCCAGACTTCCTCCATTGACCACTCCTGGATCGTCTCTTAGACAGGGAACAGAAATACTGCACTACTTGAGTATATAGAAAAGCTTTTTGTACTAGGAGATGTTTTGTGAAACCCTGAATGTGGAAAACCGTTGAAAAGAGAATGTTTCCTGGGTCTTTGGCTTAAGATCGCTCATTGGAAACTGTGCCCTGACAATCAGCAAGCTGGCCTTGTGGGGGTTACGTGCAGAAAAACCGCTAAGGTCACTATGATTACCCTCTTCCTCATCAGAGCTTTTTCTTATCACAAAATAGACCGTTCTTGAGCAGCCAGGGTGGGATTTTAGGAGAGTTATCACACAGGAGAAGGGGGCAGATGTGACGCCCTGCCTCTCGTTCCAGCGCATGCCGGGCACCACTTCTCTTTCTGCCACTTAGACACTGCCAGTCCCTGACACTGAGCAGTTCTACACAGTCGCTGCAACAGGTCACACTAAAGGAGCACTAAAAACGAAATCATCTGTGTGAAGACCAGACCCCGGGAAGATGCAGAGCAATGGGAGTGTATACAGCCCTTTCCCCCCAAAGTTTGTATCCTGTAGCACAGATCTATGTTTTCTGTCCTATATTCTTTACCACTTCCTGTCTGCATCTGTGGCTCCCAGGAGGCTGGGCAGCTCTCATTAGGGATGATTCTAATTAGCCTTCCTCCTGTATATTTTGACCACAAAGTGTTGGTTTCACTACTTTCAGTCAATATTCAAAATCTGCTCAAATCGTGTCCTGCCCACCAAAAAAGCACATGCCCATTTGGCCTTCCTACATCACTTTGTTCAGTATTATTAATAGTTTTACCTGAGTCTTTTACTTCTTACACAGTTACAAGAGCTTTTGGAACAGAATCTATGTGACATACACATCTACATTCCCAGGACAGTACCCGGAAGGTACTCAGTGAATATCCACAGAATGCAGATTGAAGGAATATAGTGTTTTTTAAAACAAAATTTATTTGGCACTTTAGAAAACTAGGTCAGTTTGAAATGACATTATTCAAGTATGGTTTACTTAATCCCACCAAAGATTGGAAGTCTAAACAAAATGTAAAGATGATTTTTAGCCACACCAACCTTTTTTTTCTTAGAGGGAGGGAGGGAGGAAGGAAGGAAGGAAGAAAGGAAGGAAGGAAGGAAGGAAGGAAGGAAAAGAAAGAGTAGAATATGAGCAGGAGGAGGCAGTGGAAGATAGGGAAAAACTAAAATGAATGGGAGAATTTAGTCGTGTGGAGTTCTGATATTCTTCTCTGGGGTATGGAGATGAATCCTCTGACAAAGCAAAAACTTATCCCTAACTAAACACACCTAGATAACGTGAGTGCGGCCTAGTGCTCTCCTGACCACTGGCCTCTTGGTAAGCAGGGTAAGAAATAGAGGCTGAGTGATTTGGAAATTTCACTCACGGCTCACAGCTAAGACGCTTGCGTGCCAGTGGGAAGGAGGTTCTGGAAGTAGCAGAACTGCAGCGCGAGAGTAAATCCGAGCCCTGGTACAGCCAGGCAGGGAAACAGACTTCTGTGAGCTGTTAGGTTTTATTTCCCTCAGGATTCCTTTTGGAATCAACTCCTCCCTCTCCTTTCCCCTTACACTGGGGACCTTCTCACAGTGACAAGTCTCGGGGCTTGAATAATAAGCAGGAAAGTTGCCTTTTCTGAAGTTAAATTTTGCAGCACCAAAACACCACCCCAATAAGCATCTTTAATCAAATCCCTGACACTTGAAATCCCTGAAGGGAAATAGTCAGGAAAGGGCACACTTGGTGTTTAGCTGCCTTTTTCAGAAAGAAAATCTAGCTTGGACTTTGATTGTACCGAAGCATGGAGAGTGATGCCGGAGCTTTTCTTGAGAGCAAAGCTTAAAGGGAGATGTGCCCGACAGCACATGCACAGTAGCTGCCCATTCGGCAGGCCACTCTTCTACTTTTAGCTCTTTATTCTCATAGTATATCTGGGAGGGAAGTATTCCCATACCCCCTTCACAGGCAATAAAAATAAAATTCAGAGGTTTGAAGGCCTATGAAGCTCAAAATAAGGAAGCTAGAAAACTACAGGGCAGAGATTTACTCTTAGGCCTTTCTGGCAGAAATGTCCTGCCCAGTGCACTGCACGCCTGACGACAACGCCACCTGGAGGGGAGCAGTGGCAGAAGAAAGCACGCTTGGGAAGCGGAGTCCAGCGCCCTTCTCTCGATTTCCCGGAACACCGGAGTGGCTCCGCGTGCAGGCCCCTCTTCCGGGCCAGCAGCCCGGATCGGTGCCGCTCCACAACTGGCACTGGAGTGAGTGCTGAGCGCCAGCCCCCAGCCTTGGCCAAAGCCCGGGACGTCCCTCCCGTGATCCCAAGGATGCTGCACAATGCTCTTCCTTAAATTCCTGCACGTAGCCTTTCTTACACACAGGGAATCCCGTGATGGTTGTATGTCAAGTTTGCCTACTAACTTCGATCAATTCTCAGTTCTAAAACTTCTGAAATACTTTCGCCCAAGCAAGTTATTTGAAGTTTTTAAAGCATGTTTTCACACCTCTAAAAAGGAGCAATCATAGTGCCTATCCTTAAGAAAAGTACTGAGATGAAATGAAATAGCTCTTTTCTGACACCAATAAAATACCCAACCCATCGCAAATATATAAGAAATACTAGCCACTATCCCTGTGTGTCTCCCAGAAGCCTGTACACAACAATAGCAATATGGTCTTCTTCATACAGTACTGGCCTGACACATAGTGCTCAGAACCGACATGTAAAGTACCTGACCATCCATCTCTGGACAACTAACATTTGCATAAAAGATATTAAGACCTTCACTGAGGTCCTCTTCGCTACTTGTCACATGAAATTGACTGGTAATTAATTACATGTATATGACTAAATAATTCTTAGATTATAGGGAATGGAAATAATTAAATAAAAAAATAAAAAGGAAATCAAGAACAAGCTCAGAAACAAATCTTAGTGTATGTTAAGAGCAACTATAAAAATATAAATTTGCAAACAGACCTTTTATGGCTAAGAATCTCTCTCACAGGAGTCGAGGGCTCTTGATATCTCCTTCTTATGACTAAAGAAGTATCTAATCTCTCAAGAAATTTTCAGAGTTATCAAGAGTTTTAAGTAGATACCACCACCAATTTGTTAGCTCATAGGACACAGTGTACTAGTGTGATTTTGCTTTTCACAATGTTTTCAAGCACAAAATGTGGTGCATTGTATCTAAATATCTTAATTAGGTAAAATGAAATTACTTACAATTACTGCAGGATCTTATTTCCCAATGGCTTCAGAACTAAAATTAGCTTTAATTCAATAGGTTGTATGCACATCAACTTTGCACAGATAATGTGGAAAGAGACGGATGAAAAGACGACGACCAGACCAACCTTCTGACCTGGGGCCACCTGAACTTGAGAGAGAGCTCTGATCCTAAGATCAATAGAGATTCCACCAAACCTGGTGATTTCCTTGGCTCGGGATGCTGAGCCTCTTTAAGCTTCAGAATCTCACAGGGTCTATTGTTATGACTATAAAATATAACAGGATAAGAATGGAAGCATGTTCCATTGAAACCTAATCGGATTAAGGGAACAAATAGCAATGAGATGTGTTTGTTTTCGTAACGATGGCCCATGGCCCTGGTCTCACCCCTGACTAATTGGCAGTGGTACTGAGGTGCTCTTGCAGTCATTTAAATACAACGTGCCTGAGCTTTCAGAACTGTCAGGCTTCCCATACTGCAAAGCATGAATAGGGAAATATTCCCAGTCCTGACTGCCTCTGGGTCAGAACAGCCAAGCCTAAGCTATTTCTCTGTAGTTCTGAACCAGAGAAGTGAAATCAAAGAACTGGACTTCACAGTGCGTCTTGTGTTAGACATTCACAACACTCAGCCGTGGATTTGATGCAAGGTGGGACAGGAGGGAAACTGAGAACTGAGGAGGAGCCTATTACAGATGCCAGTCCAAGCATGGGCAGCCAAGAAGTTCAGATGCCACCGGGAATGTGGGCAGAGAAATGGGTACAGTTTCCCTTCGGCCCTCACTCAAATACACTGAAAACAGCAGAAGGGAATCTGGACCCTGGCAGATGCTCCCGAGTTGAGTGTTTGCTGTGGGAAATCTATTCATAAATAACAAGCTTCTGGGAGTGAGGAGGGGGATGGACTCTGACCCAAGACAGAGCTCCCTTGTCCTACCCGAAAGGCCAGGCCCGTCAGCCCGTGGTAAGGATGTGCCCTCTGTGGCCGGACACTCTGGGAGACCCCAGTCTTTCTGTAAACTGGTCGGTTTCCTAAGGCCTGGTCTCTGTCTTCACCCACAGGATGATAGCATGCAGCTGAGGTGAACGTGAGTCAGCGAGACCCTGTGTATGAGGTGCCATGCATGGTGCTCCATGCAGGGTGAGCGGTCTCACACTGGCAGGTACGGGGTTGACAGAAACTATTCAGCCACACGCATCTCCCTCCTTTGTTTGTTTACACGTACATTCACTCATTTATTCACTCAGCAAGCCACACACAGATTCACTTAATCATCATGCCATAAAACAATAAATTTCTGCTATGCACCATCCGCCGTACCAGGGACAAGAACAGATCCAGAAATGAAGTGAATGTCACCCTGCTCTTAAGGGTTTGGGCAAGCTTGGTCCCTGCTAGGATATGAGCACAAATGACGACAGTAGAAAGCACGAAGGGTTACACAGCACAAACTGCACTCACTGGAGGTTGGAAGGCAAAAGGAGTTTTTATTATCAGGGGATCGGGACAGGTTTGACAAAGGAGATGCCCCTGAGTCAAAGCTTGGAAGAGGAGCAGGAAGAGGACATGACTGGACACACCACACGGTCTGCTGGTCTTTCCTTTGCAAGTAACTGCTCGACCACACCACAGAGACCGCATGCATCTGAGAGCGACCCTTCCCTCACCTTACCCTGGAAAGGGGAATCGGGCCAGCTCTCATGTTGGTTAGCTGCAGTACAAGCTGAAATTTAGATCGCCCGACTCCATCCCAGAGTTCATCTGCTTCCTCATTAATGCTCACTGAATAGCAAGTGCTGGCTTAATGTCCTGTTCACAAATTCATTTTCCACATGTCTAGTTTAGTGGAGCTCATTGCAACAGAGCCTAACCACCAATAATTCTGTTTGCATTTGGCATAAACCTCAATACATGACTTACACTGAGGTGCAGTCTAAGTTGAAGCATGGTGCTCACTCGTACAAATCATATAATCAATCCCCATTGCCACTCCAGTATTGATCTAGATATCAATTAATTCCACACCCAGCTTTTTATTTCCTAGTAAGGTTTTTTGTTTTCTTTCACCAACATTTATTGTGCCAGTCTTATTCTGACAAAATCAGACACCTGGAAGATACCCAGTTGTACACTTTTACCTTGGAACTAAGTCATAAGATGGACAGTGGATCCTTTGTCACTTTTTAATAAACCACAGAGAGCTGTGCACCTCACACAAATAAAAAGGTCAGCATCCAAGGGCGGGCGGAGACCAAGATTTCTGAAATTCAGAAAAGTTTGACAAGATCTTGACAGATACACATGCAAAAATTAATTCTAGTAGTCTGACTAATTAGGAATAGGGCTATTTTGGAAAGAAAAGCAGGGAAAAGTTCAGATCCCAAAAATTGAGGGAATTATAATTAGAAAGAGGCAAAACGGGGTTTTGGTAGATACAAGTGGTGGGAGAGAAATTTCGTTTTTTCACTTTCCTCCTCTGCTCCCTTTCCCGGTGTGGTGGAATCTGTGCTAACAACTGAGGCAGGTATACACCAAATGAGTCAGTGGGTCTTTCCTTCCTTCCGTTGTGCAGACTCTTCCAATCCAAGGACCACACTGGGGTAACATCCGAGTTGCATGCTGAGCTCGGGAGTGAAACAGAGCAGTTGGCCTCAGGGTCTACCTTGGGCTCAGGCTCAGCCACTTAATAAACTGTTACACTTGGTTCACACAAGTTTTTCAGACTTCTCCGCACTGCGTGCCTATGCCAGATCTAAGCTAGCAATAGTGTGCTGTTCACTTCTGTTTCCCTTAACCCCCTGTCTTCCTCGGGAATCCGAAAGGACCAGCACCTGGGATGCAGCCACAGAGCTGGTGTTTGTGGAACTGCAGATCATGGAGTACATCAACATCTGTCCACTTACTGTCTAACCAGAGGACTCTGGATGGAAATCTCAGCTCTGTCACTTCATAGAACTGTAAGTTGGGCAGTTTCCTAACATATCAATAAGGATCATAAGAAAAACTAGGTTACAGGAGTCAAATGAGTTAGTGGAAATGAGTCTAGTTTGTAATTCATAAAGAAATGTGTATACATGTCATATTACAGAAAACACTTTAACTTTAGGGTCAGAGAGGAATTCTTTAAATACATAATCTTCATAATAACTTGATTCACTGTTTTGAGTTTTAATATCTACTTCTGTGAAATGAATGGCTAATACCTTCCTCAGAAACTGTATCAAATTTCAATATGATAATGCTTCTAAGTGTCTGATAATCCTAGTCATTTAATGAATGATTATTTGTATTATCATGTGTGTTATTTTTACTAATATCATTTCCACTATCTTATTGCTGAGTATACAGGACTGATGAACACAACCACAGAGCACCTCACTTCTCTGCCAGGGGTTGTCTCTGAAAGCAGATGTCTTCTGACTTTTCTGCACCAGCCTAGTACACAGAACCAAGCTCTGAATGTGAGGTACAAAAGTAGAGGCCCATGTAAAAGAATCCATATGATATTTGAGCTTGTGTGTCTGGCTTATTTCACTTAACATTATGTTCTCAAGTTGCATCTGTGTATGTACGATTGCCTCAAGTTTATCTTCCTTTATGGCAAAGTCGTATTCCATTGTGTATAAATACCACATTTTTCTTATCCATTGATCTGTTGATGGACATATATGCTGTTTTCAAGATACAGCTACCATAAATTGTGCTACCATAAACAAGCTGATTTTAACTCTTGGGACAATACCTAGAAGAGGAATAGCTAGGTCCCATGGAGTTTCTATTTTTAGTTTTTTGAGAAATTCAGAGAAAGTGAGCAAAATAAAAGATACATAGGAAGTAGGGAGAAGTCTAAATAATTCCCCAAATTATCCCATTGTTTCAAAAATATTTTAATACGTGTGCTAATTTGTTTCATTTATACTACTAGTTTCTCTTAGTTTATTAAAAAGAATGTTTTGTGCTATTATCTGTTTCTTCTTTATAAATCTTTTGTTTATGTCTTGTACTCTACTTAGAGTATAATGATACACAGTGTAGTATTGTCATCTATTATTATTTTGTTATGAAATGTTTTATTTTTTCCTAAAAGAGAAACGGAGAGGTTCACAGTGAGCCTGACTTGGGGGCGGCATCTCCGGAGGCCTTTCCAGTCAGTCTCGCTGAGATCCTGGCGTCACAGCAGCCTCCTCCCGTGGGCACGTTCAGCACAGCACACGCCGGACTCTGCCCTGCCATTCTGTATAGGCACAGATCCCACCTCCTTCACCTCCCCTAACAGTGGCCCTTCCACTTTCAGGGTTTGTGTTTGATGTGTGTGTGTGTGTGTGTGTGTGTGTGTGTGTTTCTGTGTTGTTCTGGTTGTAGTTGTTGCTGTCTTTGATGGTCCTGGGGTCTGAACCAAAGGCCTTCATGCTGAGCTGCATCTCAAGCACTTTTTTGTTTCTTTGAAACAGACCAGGCTCTTGCTAAGTGGCTAAAAATGCTGGGGCTGGTCTTGAATTTGCGATCCTCCTGCCTCTGTCTCCCAGAGTACTAGGATCTCAAGCATGTGCCATCACGCCCTGCTTCTGTTACGCTTCTACTGTGAGAGAAAACGTGGTACTTGTCTCCTTGCTTTCTGCGTCTGACTCTTGGGTTAACAGAATGTCCTCCACTTCCATCCGTTTCACTGCAAGTGCCGTGGTCCCGTCTGCTTTCTGGCCGAATAATGAATGTGTATATCACATTTCCTTTGTCCGGTCAGCTGCTGGTGGGCATGAAGGATGAGCCCAAGGCTTGGCTCTTGAGAAGAGTACCTCAGTTCACACGGGCGTGCAGGCATCTCTTTGTATGCCTGTGTCATTTCCCTCACACATGGTGTCGACGGATCACATGATAGTTCGATGTTTCGGTTCTTTGAAGAAACTCCAAACTGTTTTCCACACGCCAGGACCATTTCACCCTGACTGAGTCACTGTCCCTGACCAGGCATTAACTCAGAAGGGCGAGAGACTCAACATTCGTGAAACCCAATTAGGGTCTGTGCAAGGCGCAAACCAATTCCAGCAAAGCCTGCTGCGCACTTTCTCATGCTGCACTTAGAGAAAGGGGGTTTGTGCCCGAGGATTCAAATCTCTCAGCTTGGAAGCACTGAGATGGGCTCCTGACCCCAGACCCCTGACCTGGAGCCCCACAAAGATAAGCAGTCAGCCAGCGCGGTCTTCCTCTAGGCTTGCCTGAGTGGGCACGAGAGTGGCCATTACCCAAGAGAGGAAGGGGCTTAGCACAGCGTGGGGTTTGCAGCTGATCGGCGCATTGCTCACATGCGGACTAAGTGTGCTGGTCAGTACTGCAAGGCTGCAGAACACGCTGTTAGGGAGCTAACCGTCAAGGTCCTCCTTTGCTTGCCACGCACTCACCAGGCAGATTTCTTTGCTTTGTGGGCTTTGATTTCTTGCTTATAGGCTCATTCATCTGAATTTAAATTGCTGGGCAATGTTTTATATGAACTCCCCACTTCTCGTGGATTCTAAAGAGCAGAAACAAGCTGCACGTAAGTGGCAGGTGTTGCCTTACAAAGTGGGAGACTTGGCTCTGTTCCGTCATCTCTGGTTACGCAACCTAGAGCAAGGCCTTTGCTTTCTCTGGGCCTCGTGTAAATTCTGAGTCTCTTCGAGATCTTTAAAGTCCATTCGGGCCTACAACATAAGAATTATCCCAACAGAACCTCTCCTATAGGCTGAGATCTCCCCCACCAGAGACTAGTTTTCTGTTTGGTGGATTACAATGATTTCAAAATGATAAAATGCTGAGAATTTTAAGAATCAAGGTAGAAATACTAATAAGACCAGAGACATTTTATGAAAAGCATCTGAACTGTGCTTTATCTCTTTCAATGCACTGCAATGTTCACTGACCCATTTTATCATTGGTGAGCCAGAAATATATTTAATTAGCAACACGCAGACAAAGACAGCCGGCTACAAACGACGTACCAAAGCCCTAACTGTGGCTCCTGCAGACCGCCCGCCATAATTGGGCCTTACCCTCCTTCCCTGCTCAGTGCTGCCCGTCATGTGTAAGACTAGACAGGGCAGAACAAACAAATCCATAAAACCCTGTGCTTGGCTGCAATCCAGAGAGGTTTTTATAAAAACAAATCACTAAGAAAGAAGGAAATCTTTGGCTTTCTAGCAAGTCCTCCCCCTCTCTGGGCCTCAGTCTCTGCATCTGTGAATGGAGAGAGGGTAAATGTCTTATGTCCCTTCTTTTCCGTTTTAGGAGCCCTTGCCATAGCCAGGATGCATGAGCCAGGCAGAGTGCAGACTCCTCCCACTACCTCCAACCAGCGAAGAGTGGCCGGGTGACATTCCCAGAGGCCAGTGTGGGGCTGCAGAGGACATTGTCATGAGGTAGGAAAAGCATTAGACTCCTATCAGTAGTCCTGGATGGTGTAAAACAGCACTGAGCTGGACTGAATAATAATCATTTATGGAATGACCCCTGATTTCTTAACACTCCACTGGATGCTTTTTAACTCTCCCAAGAGCTTGGTGGTAGGTATTATTGGTCACAAGTGAGGAACCCAATGCTCAAAAATGCCAAGTAACTTCTTCGGGCAGGCAGAGCCAGCAAGTAGCAGGGCCAGGACTGTGAACATGCCATTGTCTTAGAAATTACTTGTCATTCCTTTCTGTACCTCGTTTTCTCTCCATGTTCCTCTATTTTGGGTTGTTGTACCAGAGTATCTGACCCTTGGTAATGCATAAAGAAAAGAGGTTAATTTGGGCCACGACTCTGGAGGCTGAGAAGCCAAACACCGTGGTGCTAGCATCCAGCTCGGATGTGGCTCTGTCCAGGCGAAGCAGAGAAGCAGAGGGGAGTTAGTGGATTCAGAGAGGAGAAGGACACGAGCAAGCTGAGAAAGCCAACTGCTCTGTCTCAACCTTGTCTCTCAGGAACTGGTCCTCGGGGCTGACCTCATCCATGGGGTATTAATGATTTCCAGAGTGGGCACGCCCATACCTAATTGCCTCCCACTAGGCCTCAGCTCTTAGAGATCCAGCCCTCTCAACCCCTGACACCAAGGACCAGCCTTCCAGCGTGTGAACCTCTGTGGACAAACCATATGCAAATGGTAGCTCTCCCTCATGGAATGGATGGAATTGAGCCTACTTTACCAGAGATGTTTATTAAATCAGAAAAAGGAGAAAATCACCTTGAAGAAATATGAACCCAAGAAGAAATAATTATGCTTTGCTAGGTGAACTTAATCTCCAAGTTTCAGTTCCTTAAATTCCCTGTCCATTCTCTAATAAACACTCCCATCTGAGCCTTGGACCCCACAGGACCAGACATGCTGGGACACCTCTGCACCTACCTCAGTTCCCTGGCTTCGGGATTCCTGTCCTATCCAGGGCCCAGGCACAGGACACGGGATCCCCTGGAGTTGTTTGGTCACAGCCTCATTTCTCTGAGCACAAGTCGGAACAAAGCAACCCAGAAAGACACGCACACTACAGTTTGTTCTGGGAAAGCAGCACAATGCAGAGGAGGTCTAGAGCGTGGGGTGGAAACAAATACCACGTTGGTTAAAAGAAATGTCTGTGTGGCTGTACGTTCCTGGCAAACTTTCTGACCAGCTAACTTGTGAAAGCATTAACCCCACTGTGTACTTCATTGTTTGGCTCGTGTAGTAAAGGATGTAGTCGAAAGTGATCAATACAAGGTGCATAGTTTACCACTGTCTTCATGCATGTTCCCGCCCTGACTCAGTAAGAAGCATTTCTCATGTGGGAGATGACTGTTTTCTTCCACTGAGCCTGCAAACCTGCAAGGAGTAGATGCTTTGCACCAAGTCTCGCCCTTAGTAACCGACTGAGCAGAGCAGGATCCAGGTCTTCTGGTTCCGCACATTGCCACGTTACTCCATCGGCCGCAGTTAGTTCCTCTCCTGCAGTGTCCAGGACAATGCCCACCTCACCGACTGCTAATTTCCGGCCAAAATGGAAGCATTGCATGAAACGTCCACATGTCTCCTCAAAAGAAAAGGATTCTCTTTTCTCCTCTAAGCTCGAACATTTGTTACGAGTCTTGCTGACTTGAGGTCGTACTCTAGACAGTGCATGGGGAAAGGCCAGGGGCTCTACCTCCTTTAGGACTGTACCCTTGGGAAGCTACTTCCTGCCTTCTTTTTACTTGGGAAAAATAAACATATAGTTTGAAAAAGCCTCCTACTTGGGGACATCTGTTATTCACTGCTGAAAATGACCAGACCCTAACAGACACAACTGCCACCAGCATTCTTATTGTGATTGGATAAGGTAGTTAAAGTCAGCAGATGTCAAGTGTAGATTTTTGTCCAATCTGAAATTCTCTCTCTCTCTCTGTTTTGTGTGCTATTTTATGAACCTCGCTGTTACTTCTAAAGGACCGGGACCTTGTCTAATTATCCTCTGTGCTTTAGATACCAATAACACGTGAAGGAGGCATCTTGATGGCTCTAAAGTGCAGTCTGAAGGGGCGAGACATGCTCAAGGGTCTCTGCCAGTGCCAGGACCTCAGAGCATAACTCTTCTCTAAGGAAGCTGCACACTGAATCAAGGAAACTGACATAAACCAAGGGTCACATTCTCTGCACTTTCTGGAACATAAGCGTGGTTGTTATGACTGCATGGAGAAAGGCTATGTGTTTAGTCTCAGTAATCGAACTGATTATATTTCAAATGCAAACGTGCAATCTACTGCAGGCAGGAAGCAATTCAAGACTAATTATTCTTTCTTGTTAATGGAGAACATGGTAGCAGCTCTGAGAGCCACTATATCCTAAGCTCAGAGCTGAACACCCTGGTGAATATTTAAGGCCCGTTGGTGGTACAGAACAGGGGAAAGTAACAGACTCTTTTAAGAATGATCCTACATACAAAATGCATACATAAATGCGCCTAGCCATTGGGATCTGACTTATGATGTGCCAAGGAGTAAATACACATCTCACAGAGAGGAACGTGGATGACACTCACATCACGACTGCGTTCTCCTCGTGCAGAGAAGGGGACATTCCAGGAGAAGACAACCATGTGCAGTCTGAGTCCAGGTCACAGGCCTTGGGGTTTGAAGGGCGTCAGCACTTAAGCAGCAAGTTACTAGGGCATAGTCCCTCGAGTTACCTCGTTGCTCATCCCGTGGGAAATGGTTTCTCTGGTCGTAAAATCCTCGGAAGCCATAGAGCTTCTGGGTTTCCTGCTGATCCCAGCGGCACCCTGATTGAGAAAAGTGACAGAAGTTCAAGTCACTTCAACCTTTCGGAATCTCTGGTGGAGCATACAGCTAGCAAGCTCCCTGCACCCTCAGAGGTTGGATTCTCTTTTCCTTTCCTCAGAAGGTTTGATAGTCTCCTCCCATCTTACGTGCTTACCGGGCACGTAGAATCAAGCAAACTGAGGGCTGGAGCCCAGGGGTTGGGGGGAGCAGGAAATGGCCCTCTCAGAAAGTGGGTAACTTTCTAATGACATAATCTTGCTTTAGCTCTTCAGTGAATTTTTAAAAAATTATTCTCCTGTGTTTAAAAAATGATACTGTTATATGTTATAACAGATTTAAAGGCAGAAGAAAATTCTTCCGAAAATTCTTGACTCTTTGCTGGATGGTCAACCGTCTGCATGCAGACTGAAGAACGGAAGGCAAGGGAAGCACTGCTGGACAGCTATGAGCAGAGCGGTTTTCAGGTCGTGTGCAAGGTGAGAATCCAGCCAGCCCTGGGGGAGGTTGGGTGGACCGGGGACCCCGGGGTTGCTGTTCCACTGACCTACTCTCCCAGCCATTTTTACTTTTTATTTTACTCCTTCTGGCCTCAGACCTGCAAGCCTCTAGGCTCAGTCTCCTGAGGAGCTGGGATTACAGACATGCACCACTGTGCCTGTCTGGCCGCCCAACCTTAATCAAGCAGAGGAGAAAGTCCTCAATGACTTTCAGGACAAACTATGAAGTCATCCTTAATAGAAGAGCTGTATTTTTCCTAAACAAATGCCATCTAAGCTTGCTGAAACCAGCCTCAGCAAGAAAATAATCTTCTGACCAGAAGAGTCAAAATCCAATACTGTTTATGGAGATAAACAACAGTGTGGCATTTGCCTTAGGCCAAATCCATTTTAAACTATAAAACATGTTTGGAAGCCCATCCACCCCCAAAAATAACATAGTCATGAGAAAGTCAATCTAATTTAGAGACTGAGATTTGAAGTCAGGGAAAAGCTGAGCCTAAGAGTGAAAGAAATAGAAGAATTTAAAAAATAAAAATAGAATTTCTAGCGTTGGTAAATAAAATATACAAAATTAATCTAGATGAAATTAACAAAAGAGTAAAAATAGCAGGACAAAGTATCATTGAGTTTAAAAACAGAACCATAGAAACTATCTGAAAATAATGCATGAAAAGAAAAATACATACTAGTTTTGATTTGAAGAGAAAATAATGAAAAAATAAGACACCATTGGTTTGTGAGACAATATCAAGTCATCTATCCCAGATAAAATTGAAGTATGAGAAAAAGGGGGAAAACGTGCTAAAATAAGTAATGGCTAAATATTCTTCAAATTTGATAAAAATCATTAATTCATAGAACCAAAAAGCTCATTAAAACCAAGCAAGATAAGTACAAACAAAAACCACACCAAGGATTACCACAAATCAGATTGCTGAAATCCAGGTACAAAAAGAAAGTCATTAAAGCAATCAATTTTAAAGGCATACTAAATCCAAAAGCACATAAGAAATTCTAAACTACTCATCAAAACTTATGCTAACCAGGAGGCAAAGGATTGATAGCTTAAAATATTCTAAAACAAACACAATGATTCTCAGCCTACATTTATACTTCCAGTGAAATTACCATTCAAAAAATAAAACTGAATACTTTTCAGGAAAAGAAAAGCTGACATGCTAAGTCTTCAAAAAACCTGTACTCCAAAATACATTAAAGTAATTCTTCAGTTAGAGAGGGAAAAAGTATGCTACTGTATAGAAACTTGAATACATTAAGCAAAATACAAAGTTCTGGAAATACTAAGTATATACCTGCATATTAATTAAAAGTTTTAATTTTAAGAGATCATTGATTTTTAAAGAAAAAAATCATAATGGTGCATTATGAGATGTATAATATATGTCAAGGGATAGTGTGTGAAACAAAAGGATAAGTAATCAGGGGGAAAATAAAGATATGATGCATTAAATTTCTTACATTTTAGTTAGAGTGATACAATATTACTTAGAGGTAGACTACATAAAGTGAAACATGCATATTTTAAAGCCTAGAACTACCCTAAGAAGAATAAAACAAAGAGATATAACTAATGCAACAATTGTGGTTATATAACAAAATGTACAAACTTGAGAGGCCTTAATATGAAAATCTGGCAAAAGCATTACAAGAAAACCTACAAACCAAAATCTTTCATAAACATAGTTACAAAAATATTTTTAAAATATTAGCAAGTAAAATCTAACAGTATATAAAAAAGGTAATGCATCACAACCAAATGTGAATTATCTATAGAATACATAGTCAGATGGACATTTTAAAATCTTTTAATGTAATTCACTATATTAACAAAATTTTTAAAACACTAAAAACTGCATTTGACATAGTTTGCCATCCACTCATGAACATAAAAATAATGTTCAGCAAACTGGAAATTGAAAGTCACTCCAGCAACTGGGCATCTATACAAAGCCAACTATTAGATTAAAACTGGACCCTTACCTTTCACCATACACTAAACTAAAATCAAAATCAAAATCAAAAGTAACTACTATAATCCTTAAGGTGAAAGATTGACTACATTTCTGCTAAGATTTTAAAGACTAGCAATGTTTTTCAGTCTCACAGGTTTGGTTTAAATTGTACTTGAAGATCTTACGTAGAGCATTAAGGCAATAGAAAGAAGCAAAAGGTGTACAAATGTAAAAGGAAGAAGTAAAACTACACTAACTTACAAACAAAGCTGAATGAACAAGATATAAGCATTCTAAATAATGCAACACCAGATAATGAAATTGAAGATGTAATTAAAAACCTACCAACAAACAAAAGTCCAGGTCATGATGGATTCATTGCTGAATTCTGTAAGAAATTTAGAGAAAATCTAACGCCACTACTTCTCAAACTCTTAAATGAAACTGGAAGGGAAGCAGTACATGCTCATTACAAGAAGCAGGCATTACCTGGATACTAAAACCAGAGAAGGATCCAACTGAGAGAGAGAGAGAGAGAGAAATACAAGCCAATCTTGCTAATGAACATAGATGCAAAAATCTTCAAGAAGATACAGCCAAACAGAATGCAGCAAATCATCAAGAAGATCATACACAATGACCAAGTAGGATTCTTCCAAGGATGCAGAGATTGTTCAACATAAGCAAACCAATAAATGTAATACATCACATTATCAGAGCCAAGGACAAAAACCATATGATCATCCCAATAGATGAAGCAAAAGCATATAAGAGG